GCTCCAGCAAGCAAAGCAAGCACTGAAGGCCTTTGAACAATGCCCCCAGTCAGAGACGTCAAACCATCTGTTACTCTACCATCAGCGGCTAAGCCTTTTGCAGTTATGTTGGTCTCAACTGAGGTCTTTGATGTGGATGTTGGAGGGATGTATATTGGCCTCCTTCCGCAGCGGGGCGCTGTCGGCTACTTCATGCTCCACGTGGTCTCCAAGGACGCAAGGTGGAGCGCAGACACTCTCAGTGATGGAAGTTGAGTCTGAAGCTGGGAAGTTGCACAATAGTACAACTTCCTTCCTCCCTTCCTTCTTCTCTCCCTCCTTCCCTTCCTTCTTCCCCGCCTCTCTCCTTCCTTCCTTCCTTCCTTCCTTCCTTCCTTCCTTCCTTCCTTCCTCCCCCCATAATGCTCAAGGTGCTGACTTTGCACTCAGGGGTTCTCAGGGACCCCATGGGATGCTGAGGATTGAACGCCGGTCGGTCGCGTGCAAGGCAAGTGCCCTCCCCTACTCTCTGACCCCGAATTGTGTTTTCTCCACAGATGTGCAGAGGAAAAAACTCTCACACGGACAGCAAGTAAGACAAATTCCATTGCAAAAAGGCTCGAATCCTGGGAACACGACTCAGGAGCTGCCGCCAGCGGGAAATAGCTATCCAGGATGGGGCTTGGCGGCAGAACACTTGCCTCGCATGTGTGCAGTTCTGGGTTTGATTCTCGACAATAGCACTAGAGGCAGGGATGAGGAAACAAAAGGAAAAAAAAGAGAAGCCCTGGAGCAGAAAAGCAAATGGACTATGTGTTAAACCGCGCCACCATGCCTGCCCGGAGGGGAAAGGGTGTTGTCCCGCCCGACAGCTCCTCTCTGCAAAGAAAGATGGCTGCCGCCCGGGAGCCTTGTGGACAGCAGGTTTGAGCCGGGGGCGGGGGGCGGCAGGGGCCTCATGGGAAGGGGGGCGTTCTGGGCCATCCTTCACGCCCGACCGAGGTCACCAGCTGCCCCCCACGAGCGGCTCTCCGGCACGGCCACGACTCCAGAGCACAGAAACCAATCTCTTAACTATCTAACTTTTAATAGAAATACTTCCAGGGTTAATAAGTAAAACAGCAGAAATCCAAAACCGCATTTTATTCTTAAACCAAGCTGTAGAAAGCAAATCATTTCACAATGCTGTATCAGCATATCTGATTGGGGGGGGTCATAAACTCTAAACAATAATTGTGCATCTTCTATCGAAACAATGTATCTAGTCAAAGTAGATAGAGTATTAACTAGAACTCATCTGCCTCACAAGAATTGGGAGGGGTGGGAGGTGGGGTTCTATTGGGGTTCATGGTTAAAAATAAGTATTGGTAAAGGGAAATGTGTTTGATACTTACATGACTGAGACCTAAACCCGAAAGCTCTGTAACTTTTCCCACAGTGATTCAATAAAGAAATAAATTATTAAAAAAAAAAAGAAAAGCCCATTTTTGCCGGGTCCTTTCTGGATCCTTCTTCCCTTAACTCTCTCCCGATCACTCCACCTCCTTCAGCAAGTCTTTCTGGGGCTGGATCAGTAGTACAGTGGGAAAGGTGGTGCCTACTTTGCGTGGGGCAGACCTGGGTTCAGTCTCCAGCATCGCATATGGTCCCCTGAGCACCGTCAGGAGTGATTCCTGAGTGCAGAACCAGGAGTAACTCCTGAGCATCACCAGGTGTGGCCCCTGCCCCTCCACCCCACATCAAAAGAAACTAGCCTTTCTACATCCCATATAGTACGGTGAGTATTTCACTTGTTTTGCATGCACCTGACCTGGGATCGATTCCCAGCCCCCTCATACTGTCCCCCAAGCACTGTCAGGAGTTATCCCTGAGCACACCAGGTGTAGCACCCAAGCCAAACCAAACTGAAGAAAGTCTTTCTGCCGGGACCGGAACGCTAGTACAGCGAGGAGGTTTGCCTTGCCTACTCAGGTTTGATCTCCAGCATCCCAGAAGGTCCCCCAAGCCTGCCAAGAATGATTCCTGAGTACAGAGCCAGGAGTAAGCTCTGAGCACATCCAGGTGTTCCTCCCCCCACTTCCTCCACCCCCGCAAACAACAACAACAACAACGACAACAACAACAATCCACCCAAATCCGGTGGTTTGGTGGCTCAGAAGAAGGCACCTTCTCCAATCATTAGTTTTTTTTTGCCTCTGTAAAAAAAGGGGAGGTTTGCCACCTAGTGGCCATCAGAGGCATTGCGCTATAGGACCGCCCAGGTTTGGAACCTGAAGGTTTTGTTTTGTTTTCTTTTTGGGTCACACCTGGCGATGCACAGGGGTTACTCCTGGCTCATGCACTACTCCTCAGGAATCACTGCTGGCGGTGCTCAGGGAACCATACGGGATGATGGGAATCGAACCCGGGTCAGACGTCCATGCAAGGCCCTACCCCCTGTGCTATCACCCCAGCCCTGAAACCTGAGATTTCTTGCATTGTTTTTGGGTTATTTTGGTAGTGGTGGTGGGGATGGAATTTGGGAGTCACACCGGCGCTCTCAGGGCTCATCCCTGTCTCTGTGTTCAAGGATCACCCGTGGTGGGACCAGGGCACCCTTATGGAATGGCGGAATATGGAATGGCGGAATGGCGGAATATGGAATACCTGACTTGGCGGCATATGGAATACCTGACTTGCCTGGCAAGGGCCCTCCCTGCTGGACTATGGCTCCAGCCACTTTGCACATATTTTGCTTGTAGGAAGACTGGATTTGACTCCACCATCGTATGAAAAAAAAATTGAGGCAGGGTGACAGCTCAGTAGGCTAAATGCGGGTTTTGCATAAGAGGCCCAGGTTCCAACCCCCCCTTGCACCACGTGATTCTCTGAGCACTGAGCCAGGTGCAGCCCCTGAGTATTGATTGATGTGTAACCCCCCTCCACCACCAAAACAATAAATAAATAAAAGACCGATCCGAGTGGTGAGCGGCAGCGGCTGGAGCCCCTTCTTCCTGCCTGTTCCTCCTTCCTTCCCAGCTCAAGGCTGCTACCAAGGTTCTTCCAGGAACGCCTGGTGGAGCCGGAGTGGGAGATGGGGGATCTCTGTCCCTGACCCCCCTTCCCTCTGCACACAGCGGGCTGTAGGGATCCTCATGCACTGAGGCACAGGAACAGGGGTGTGAGCACTGTATGGAGGGGATGGGGACAGGGGCTGGAAAACCTGCTGCTGGGTGACGAGGCCAACTTTTTTTTTTCACAACCAGCTTCCCTTTCGCTCTGCCTTCAGGTATCACTCCTGGGAGCTTTAAGGACCACATTCTGGGATGATGGAAATTGAACGAGCAAAGCAAGAGCCCTCCCTGCTGCATTATATTCAACTCTGTCAGTTTTTTTTTTTTTTTTGCTTTTTGGGTCACACCTAGCGATGCACAGGGGTTCCTCCTGGCTCTGCACTCAGGAATTACTCCTGGAGGTGCTCAGGGGACCATATGGGATGCTGGGAATTGAATTCAGGCTGGCCGGGTGCAAGGCAATCACCCTACCCACTGGGCTATTGCTCCAGCCCCCAGGCCAACTTTTTTCGGTTTGGGGCCTCACCTGGTGATGCACAGGGCTTACTCTAGCTTTGTGCTCAGGGATCCCTCCCTGCAGGGATCAGGGGACCCTGTGTGGGTGGTGACACAGCATCCCTCTGTACTATTGCTCCAGTCTCTTCCCCCCTCCTTTTTATTTTTTGGGCTTTTTTGGGTCACACCCGGAGATGCTCTGGGGTTTCTCCTGGCAGTGCTCAGGGGCTCCTATGGGGTGCCGGAGATTGAACCGGGCCGGGCCACGTACAAGGCAAACGCCCTGCCTGCTGTGCAATCTGGTCCCCCTTTCCCCTTTTTTCTGTGGGGCCTTCCAGGAAGTGTATAGGTGGTCTGGGAGCCCCTCCTGGCAATTCTTGGTCAACTTGTTTGTAGAGTCTGGGTGACTGGGACCACCTTGGTGTTTATGGGGTCTCCATGCCCACAACTGATGGTGCCGAGGGGATGATATGCAGTGCCAGGGACTGAACTTCTGTTATCTTTTAGTGGGGTGTTGCACTAGGCAATGCCCAGGACTTGCTCCTGGCTCTGCACTCAGAGACCACGCCTGGTGGGTGGGCTGGGGTGTGTGTGTGTGGGGGGGGGGGGCGGGGGGCGAAGGGAACTGAACGCCTCAGGTCAGCTGCGTGCACAACTAGGGCCTTACCTGCTGTACCATCACTCAGGCCCCTCGTTGCCTGGGGCTGACCCACGCTTGGCAGCCTGCAGGGAGGTCCCCCCCACCTTGCTGACCTTGACCGTGGGCCATTCTGCCTGTGATGTGGGATGACGGGTCCCAGCACACAAAGGCCACATGGGCCGCGCGCTGCAGGTTGGTGGGTGGCACGGTGGTTCGGTTCAGACGAGAACATTTTTTTTTATTTAGCTGCTGCAGTGGCCTCGAGAGCAGAGGCCGGGCGCGTGCTTGCTACTCCCCACTCATACAGAAAGGCAGTTCATAGGTCGAGGGGGGCACCGGGAGCGGGGGACAGGCTCCCTGACCCCATCAGGAGGCCCCGTGCATGGGGGCGGGGAAGGACTGCACCAGTTGCTCCAAGGCAGAACACCTCCTGGCGTGGGGCCCCCTCTGACGCCCCCGCGCGATACCCCCGTACCTGGGCAGAAGTCAGAGGGTAGACGGCAGGGCAGAGCTGCCCATCCAGAATGTTCTCCGAGACCCCGGGAAAGGGGGAAACAGGCACTCCACATTCCCCAGGATAGAAACAGCTGGGCAGGCCGGGTCTACCCCCACCCCAAGGCTTCAGATCAGCGGCCTGTGGGGTTCCAGGCTCTTTTTTTTTTTCTTCCTTTTGGGTCACACCTGGCGATGCACAGGGGTTACTCCTGGGTCTGCACTCAAGAATCACACCTGGCGGTGCTCGGGGGACCCTCTGGGATGCCTGGAATCGAACCCGGGTCGGCCACGTGCAAGGCAAACGCCCTACCCGCTGTGCTATCGCTCCAGCTCCATAGAAAGCTATTTTTTTTTTTTTTTGGAGTGAGGGGTGCGGGGTGGGATGGGGGTGGTGCTAGGAGCTCCACGAGATCACTTGGCGGCCGCTGCCACTTGTCCTGTCCTGCCCGGGCTCGGCGTGGATGCCCCCGGCTCGGCGTGGGCACCCCAGGCTTGGCCGGTGATTCCTAGGGCACTGGGCGGGCTCAGCTCTGCAGGGGCCGCGACAGGGTCCTGGCTGGACGGGGCGGACGCGGCCTGTGGGCTCCAGGGTGTGCTCCTGGGTGGCCCCGCCAGGTCCTGGGTCACACCAGCACCCCTGCTCCCCTTGCCAGCACCCTTGCCCCGCAGAGACCAGGGGGTGGGGGTGCAAGATCTGTCGGAGGCCTCGGCCCAGCCTGGCGCTCCAGGCTGAAAGGGAGCAGGGGCACTGAGGTGGCCCCCTGTCTCAGCAACCTGGCTCTCTTCGCCGCCCACCTGCGGGGCCGGGCCGAGCCTCTGGTCTTCCAAAGTGGCCAAGTCTTTCTCCAGGGGTTGCTCCTGCGTGGGGCTCTGGCTTGGGGGCACAGTCGCGGTCTTGGGGGACCTGCAGTGTGGGGAGGAAAGGGGCAAGGGGGTCAGTAGGGGGACACCGTTCTGGACTCCACTGCCCACACGCTCTTCCACCCTAGAGGCAACTCTGGCTGGGTCACCATGTTTTTGTTTTAGTTTTGGGCCACACCCGGCGATGCTCAGGGCGCACTCCTGGCTCATGCACTCAGGAATTACTCCTGGCGGTGCTCAGGGGACCAGAGGGGGACCCGGGGATCGAACCTGGGTCAACCGTGTGCAAGGCAAGCGCCTCACCCACCATATTATCTCCCTAGCTTCTTGGGGGCCCCCCCACTTTCTGTGAGGAAACAGAAGTTCCAAAAGAGGGCGAGGATGACCTGCAGCAGTTTCTCGGGGCGCTGACCATCTCCCCAACTGTTCCAACCCTGACTCTGCCTACTGGGCACTGCACACCCCTCTCCCCTGCACCCCAAATCTGCAGTGGATCTACTGTCAGTCTATCCCACTCTCTGGGTACCAACCACCCCCAACGATGGTTTTTGTTTTTTCTTGAGGGGGTGGGGAGGCTTGGGGCCACACCCAGGGGTGCTCAGGGCCTATTTCCAGCCTTGAGCTCAGGAGCGACCCCTGGGCGGTGCAGTGCCAGGGACTCAAACTGCAGCGGGACACGTGCATGCGCGAGCACCCTGGCTGAGCTCTCTCCAGACTTGGAGCGGGATTTGTTGATTAAGGTGCTGACCTTGCATGCGGTCGACCTGAGCTTGGTCGCCAGCATCCCATAAGGTCACCCCCCCACTGATTTTCCGAGCAGAGCTGGGAGTTAAGCCCTGAGTGCTGGTGAATGTGGCCCCCAGTGACCGCCAGTGGGCATCCCTGGAGCCTAGGTCCCTTCCGAGCTGCGGGTACTCACTGTTTCTCCGACACACCAGGCAGGATTTGCTCAATGAATCGAAGGCCCCGGTTACCAGCCCGCAGCGCAGCTTCTGCATGCACGAGTTCAATCCCCGGCACCTCAGGGTCCCGTGAGGCCCTGGGGAGGGACACTCCCACCCCCGAGCACCAAGCCAGGAGGAATACCCGAATGCCACCAGCTGGGGCCCCCCCGAAACACATATGCAAACCTGGTCAGGAGCCAGAGAGATGGTATGGCAGGGAAGGCCTTGCACGTGGCTGCCCTGGGTTCCACCCCTGGCACCCCACAAGGTCCCCCCAGAACCCCACTAAGGGTGATCTGTGAACTCAGAGGGAGGCCCTGGGCACTGCAGGGTGTGCCCCCCGCCCCAATAAAACTAAAACCAAACCAAAAAAGAGGCTGGTGATAGTCAGAACCATCCAGTAGGGGGAGCTCCCGTCCCAGACTTGACAGCAGCAGAGCTCTTTGACTGGAGACCCCAGAAACTTCCCTGGCCACCCACATCGGGGAAGCCCCATGCTCTCAGGAGACCACCAGGACACGAGCAACGCTTCTAACCCGAGGCCTGCATCCCCCCTCCCCCCATGTCCCACGGAGACGCTGGTCTCTGGGAAGGGTAAGATCTAACAAAGGCTGGCTGGAGGGCCTTGGGGTTGGGGGTTGCCCCAGCAGCGTCGCGGGTGGGCCCTTACTCACTGGTTCTTGTGTTTGAAGCCGCTGATGTGAGCCTGGTACTGCTCGATGGAGTTGAGCACAATCTTGCAGGTCTTGCAGGGATAACCCTTCCCGGCTGAAACAGCAAAACCGATGTGCGTTGGTTAGCGGGAGAGCGAGACAGCGGGACGGACCTGCCAGCCAGTCTGGGCACTCTTGTGAGCATCAGGGTGGGAAGGAGAGAAGGGGGGCCCTCATTCCCAGCCTGCAGCCTGGCCCAGAGGTGGTCTTTGTGGTGCCCCGTATGTCCCACCCCAGCTGGGAAGTTACCCAGAGATGCAGCTCCTGCCTCTGGAAGGAGGCCCCCTCCCGCAGTGCATGCTGGGAAGGCGTTGTTCTCCTTCCACTGGCCCTGACAAAGACTCCTGAGCAGGCCTGTCTGGTGGCAGGGTCTAGGGGGTTCCCAGCTGGGTTAGGGTGAGCCTTTGATACAGTTACAGTATCTGGGAGAGAGAGCACTGCTCCAGGACCCCGGAAGTGGGTCTGAGCTCAGGGCTCCGGTTAAATCTCTTCCTCTTAGCCTCAGTTTTGCATTTGTTGTTGTTGTTGTTTGTTTCCTTGCTCTGTACTCAGGAATCACTCCTGAAGGTGCTCAGGGGATCATATGGGATAATGGGGATCGAACCCGGGCCAGCCATGTGCAAAGCAAGAGCCTTCCCTGCTGTACTATTGCTCTGGCCCCCAGGCCTCAGTTTTTCTTTTCTTTTTGTTTTGGGTCACATTTGGCTGTGCTCAGGGATCGAACATCGGACTGTTTCTCATCGGACTGACTTCTTCTCCCCAGGATAATTCTTATTGACATCTGTCTGTTGGATTCTCAGGGGAAATGGAAACCTAACAGTGGTCCAGAGGGGGCCGGGACATGGCAGACACTGCAGAACTGGTCGGGGCCGGAGCCTCTTGGGAGTGGGAGGCCCTGAGGGAAGGGACGGGCGAGACGCTTTGACAGAGCTGTGGAGAGAGGGTTAGACAGACACTGAATGCCACCAACCGACAGGTCTGGGGGCTGGAGGAAGTCTTTGTTTATGAAGAGTGTACAAAGCGGCCCCTTTGTTCATTCATTTGTTCCTTCGTTCATTCATTCCACAGTGAGGCTCACCGCCTATGGATGTCAATTTCCTGTCTTTTGGTTCCTGTCTGTTTTGGAGTCACACCCAGAGGGTTAGGGGTTACTCCTGGCTCTGTACTTAGGGAAAAACTCCTGGTGGTGCTTGGGGAACCCTATGGGGTTTTGCGGACTGATCCAGGGTCACTGTGTGCAAGGCAAACACGCTCCCCAATGGCCTATTGCTCCGGCCCCTCAGTTTCCTGTCTGGCTTCTGGACTGGTAACTTGGGCTCCTGGAAGCCTGAGGAGGGGACGCAGAGCCAAGAGGCTCGGGAAGGCAGGACCCACTTACCCAAGGAGCCGGTGGAAATGGGCCCGGCCAGCCGCCCATAGTGGGCCATGAGCCTGAGCTTGGTCTCCTGCTTCCGGTGTTTCTTGCCCTGGTAATGCTGCTGCGCCATGGCCGGGTCATTGAAGGCCGCATGGCAGACGCTGCAGAACTGGTCGGGGGCTGGGGCCTCTTGGGAGTGGGAGGCCCCGAGGGAAGGGACGGCCAGACGTTTTGACAGAGCTGTGGAGAGAGGGTTAGAAAGACACTGCGGACGCCACCAACCGACGGGCCTGGGGGCTGGAGGAAGGGAAAGGCGGGACACAGAAACACACAGACACATCACACACACAGACACACCACACAGACAGACGTACCACATGAATACACAGATGCAGCAAACACATACAGACATACCACACACACAGAGATGCACAACACACACACCACACACAGACATACCACACAAACACCACAACCACACATACCCACCCACACCATACTCACAGAGATGCACCACACAACACACACATACACAGAAGCACCACATAGACAGACACCACACACAGACACACCAGATAGACGTACCACATGCATACACAAATGCAGCAAACACACAGACATACTACACACACCACACATACACAGACGTATCATACATACACACACCACACACACCATGCGCACACACCACATACACAGACACAGCAAACAGATGCACCACAGACATACCACATGCATATTAACACAGCAAACACAGATATACCACACACACACACACACCACACAAACACAGACGTATTACACATATACATACACACACCACACACCACACAGATGCACTCCACACACAGACACTCCACACACACAGACGCACCATACACACACACTGTGACTCCGGCCCGCCAAGCACTTTCGAGCTTAGGCAAGAAGAAGGGTGGAGTCTGCGCAGCATTTTGAACTATGGGAGTTTCTTTTTCTTTTTGTTCTGGGGTCACAGCCGGTGGTGCTCAGGGCTGACTCTTGGCTCTGCACTCAGGGACTGTCCCTGGCGGGGCTCGGGGGACTCTATGGGGTGTTGGGAATCGAACCTGGGTTTGCTGTGTGCAAGGCAAGGGCGCTCCACGCTCTCTCCAGTCTGCTAGAGGGGGTTGCTCTGTGCTTGTGGGGCCATGGTCAATTAAGTGCTCCTCCGCTGACCCCCGTGCTAAAGGAGGCGATGATCACACAGTGTTGGGGTCCTTGCCCAGCCTGCTGAGCTCTGTCTCCGGCCTGATGTTGACCGTCCTGACCGGGATGTTCTTTCGCTTTGTTTCCCTTTTCGTTTTGGGGCCACCTGGCGATGTTGAGGACCCTAGTGGGTGCCGGGGATTAATCCTGGACATCCTGAGTGCAAGGCCAGTGCCGCGCCAGCTGCCCCTCTGCAGTCCACAGTCCCACTGGGGTCCCTGTGACTTCCACGCCTCACGGGGGGCGGGGCGAGGGGGTTTCTTGGTTTATGAAATTAGACCTGGGTCTGAGGAGAGGCATGGCATTCCTTTCTTTCCTTTTGCTTTTTGAGTCACACCCGACGATGTTCAGAGGTTTCTCCTGGCTCTGCACGCAGCAATTTCTCTGGGCAGTGCTTGGGGACCATATGGGATGCGGGGACTGAACTCAGGTTGGCTGCGTGCAAGGCACACGCCCTACCCACTGTACTGTCACTCTGGCCCAAGGCTGTACTGTCACTCTGGTCCCTTCCCCGCCACAAAGGGTCACGGTTCTCCAGCTGTTCATCAATTTTCTCGAGCGGGCCCAGTAACGTGAGACTTGTTACTGTGTTTGGCATATCAAATACATCACGGGTAACTTGCCAGGCTTTGCTGTGCGGGCGAGATACTCTCGGTAGCTTGCTGGGCTCTTCGAGAGGGGTGGAGGAATCGAACTTGGGTCGGCCATGTTGGCTGCGTGCAAGGCAAATGCCCTCCCCGCTGTGCTATCGCTCCAGACCCCCGCCTCAAAAAAAAAAAAAATCTGGTCTTGGGGCTGGAGCTATAGTACAGTGGGTAGGGCACTTGCCTTGCACGTGGCCAATCCGGGTTCGATTCCCAGCATTCCATAGGGTCCCCCGAGCACCGTCAGGATTAATTCCTGAATGCATGAGCCAGGAATAACCCCTGAGCATCACCAGGTGTGACCCAAAAAGAAAAAAAAATCTGGTCTTGTTTTCATGGCACCAATAAAAACCCTGTAAGATGGGTAGGTTAACTCAATGCCTATTTTGCAAACCACAGCACCCAAAAGGAGAGAGAGAATAAAAGGGAATGCCCTGCCACAGAGGCAGGGTGGGATGGGGGGATGAGGGGGTGGGAGGGATACTGGGATCATTAGTGGTGGAGAATGGGCACTGGTGGAGGGATGGGTATTTGATCATTGTATAACTGAAACCCAAGCACAAAAATTTGTAAGTCTACAACTGTACCTCATGGTGTTTCACTAATAAAAATTAAAAAAAAAGAAAAAGATGGCTAGGCTAGCTCAGATGGCTGCGTGCTGGCCAGAAAGAGAGCAGCCACGACCTGGACCAGATGGAGGAAGTCGAGATCAAAGCACTTTCACTATGGCCTAATTGCTGGTGCTGGAGGTGAGGCACCTCCGAAGGGCTGGGCGTGAAGGAGATGAAAGCGCGGAGCGAGGGCTGCTGCATGAAGGGACTCCATGAAGGGGCTCCCGGCAGGGTCCCTGCTGGGGGGAGGTGGCCGCAGCTGGGACCAGAGGCGTGGGTCCCGCTGGGCCGGAGTGGCATGGCCGACCCTGCATGTCACAACTGTTTTCCACCCACATGGTTTTTGTGGATGGAGGGACAATTCTGTCTTGTTACTCTGCGGGCCCGTGCTGCGCTTTGATGGGCCAAGGGGACCGGGAGCCTGGAGGATCAAAGGGGCTGGGGGTGTGGCCGGGGCCGGGAAAGGTCCTGGCCAGAGCTTCCATTGTGGGGAGCAGGTGGGAACTGGGGGGGGGGAGGGGGCTGGCTGGAGGTGAAAGGTCAGTGGGAGAGGCCAGAGAGCGCTGGGGCCAGCAGGCAGTAAAGTCAGAGGCAGGAGCATCAACAGAACCACAAGAAGAGAGGCCCAGAGAGTCAGGACAGAGCGGAGAGGCCCTTGCCTCGTGCAGTAGGGCCCAGGCAGGCACCCTAGAAGGTGCTCCAAGCCCCCAAGGGTGTGGCCCCAGCACAACACAAACGAAACGGGGTTCCGGGCACGGCACTCCAGCGGGGCCTCGTGGCTATTCACTAGGATGCTCAACAGCTGTGCCCGCCTCTCTGGGTCTGAGCCTCCCAGGCACCCCCCAGCCCCCGGCTCTCGGCAGGCAAGAAACACTCAGCAGGAAGCAGTCCGCAGGAAGCACTCAGCAGGCAGGGCCAGTACCTTCCCCCTTGGCGGGCGGTTGCTTCAGCTTCAAGTTCTTGGCGTGGGTCTTCCCCAGGTAGTGTGAGCGGGCCACAGCAGGTGAGGAGAAGGTGGCACTGCACAGCGGGCAGCACTGGCTCTGGTCTCTGCCTCCGGGGCCCTGTGGGGAGAGCACACATGCACGCACGCTGCACCCCTGCGCCGTCCCAGCAGCCTCTAGTTGTCCAGCTCCAGTTATGGGGTCCCCGGGCCTGACCAGTTCACGGGTCTCCTTCTTCCCACTTCCTGCTGCCTTTGGTGGGACTTGGGGGTTCCAGCCAGCGGCGCCTGGGAACCCTCTTCCTACCTGCCCGGGGGATGTTGGCTGAGGCTTGGACATGTGCTTTAAATAGCATTTCCTGGAGCTGGAGTGATAGCACAGCGGGTAGGGCGTTTGCCTTGCACGCGGCCAACCTGGGTTGATTCCCAGCATCCCATATGGTCCCCTGAGCACCGCCAGGAGTAACTCCTGAGTGCAGAACCAGGAGTAACCCCTGAGCATCGCCGGGTGTGACCCAAAAATGCAAAAAAAGAAAGCATATCTTATGCTTGGCATTTTAAAATTTTTTTTTGCTGGGGGCAGGGAGGGAGGATTTGGGGCCACATCCAGAGCTGCTCAGGGCTCACTCCTGGCTGGGAACTGGGAACCTTCTGGAATGCCAGGTATGAAACCTGGGTCGGGTTGCAGGGCAAGCACCCTACTACTCTGGCCCCAAGACTTTTTTTTTTTTGGCTTTTGGGGTCACACCCAGTGATGCTCAGGGGTTACTCCTGGTTCTTGACTCAGGAATTACTCCTGGCGGTGCACAGGCCACCATAGGGGATGCTGGGGATCGAACCTGGGTTGGGCGTGTGCAAGGCAAACGCCCTCCCCACTGTGCTATTGCTCCAGCCCAAAGGTATCTTTTCTTAAGAAAACATGGACTGGAACAGTCAGGGCGAGTATCTGAGAACCATCCTTCCTTTACCTCGTTCGAACTGTATCCTGGAGTGTGCCCAGGGGACTCTGGTCCATCACTCCGGAACCCACAGGGACAATATCTGAGCTTGGGAAACTCCAGTGGAAATTCAAGGGCAGTGTCTGGGCATGACTTCTCTTTCGTTTTGGTTTTTGGGCGACACCTGCCAGGGCTCAGGGCTTACTCCTGGCTCTGCTCTCAGGGATCACTCCTGGTGGGCTTGGGGACCCTATGGGATTCGGGGATAGAACCTGAGTCACAGGCCAGCGCCCAATCTGCTGCACTATTGGTCTGACCCTAGTTCAGCTGCTTTTCTTATTTTAGGTCGGAAAAAAATCCTAAAAGGCGAGTCATGGCAACTTCTTTGGCCATGACTTCTTTCTGCTTGTTTTTGGACCACGTCAGCACTGCTCAGGGCTTACTCCTGGCTGTGCGCTCAGGGATCACTCCTGGCAGTACTTGAGGGACTCTATGGGGTGTTGGTGGGGAACAAACCCAGGTCGGACGCATGCAGGCAAGTACTTGCCCTACCCTATCACTCTAAGTGGCATCCTATCACTATCACTCCTAAGTGGTATTCTCATTTGAATTTTATTTTTTTGGTGGGGGAGGGGATTTGAGCCACACCTGTGGTGTTCAGGGAACCTTATTGGGGTTCCACGGATTAAATGGGGCTCAGTGGAAACAGTCACATACAAGGCCCAGCACCCCTGTTTCTCAGAAAAAAAGAAAAAAGGATTCAGGGAAGTGGAAAGACAGTCCCAGATCGGCAGACACAGCTGGAGCTATAGTCCAACAGGGAGGGCATTTGCCTTGCACACAACTGACTCAGGTTCGATTCCCGGCATCCCACAGGGTCCCCTGAGCCCCACCAGAAGTGATCCCTGAGCGCAGAGCCAGGAGTCAGCCCTGAGCACCGCCCCGTGTGACCTCAAACAAACCAAATACTCCCAGGCCGGTGCCCTCTGAGTGCAGCTGCTCCGCTCGCCCACTTCCCTGCCTGGCCAGCGAGCGGAGCGGGCCCACCCCAGCAGCCACGTTACCTGGTCGGAATCCAGCTTCTTCGCATCCCCCTTTAAGGTCTCCAATCCGTGGATGATGAGGTAGCGTTTCACTTTGTTCGCATGTTTCTTGCTCTGCAAGAATCCAGGGCTGAGATCACCGAGGGCCCCAGGCCAGCTCTGATCACGGGCCTCTTAGAAACACCTGCAAGCGTTGCCCTGGATTTAGCCACACAAAACTCACTCATTCTCTCTTTCTCACTCTCATTCTCTCGCGTGCTCTCTCTCTCTTTCTCTCTTCTAGGGGGTGTCAATACTGTCAAATCGAATCTTCACAGTCTCTGCTGGGAAAAGTATCATTTCTAGTTTTTTTCTTCTCTTTCTATTTGGGGAGGGCTTTCGGTCCACAAGAGGCATGCTCAGGGGTGGACTCCTGGCTCTGTGCTCAGGGATCACTCCTGGCGACATTCAGGGGACCCTATTGGGTGCTGGAGATTGAACTAGAGTCGGCTGCATGCAAGGTAAGCAAGCGCCCTCCTCGCTGTGCTCAGGGGACTCTACTGTGCCTGAGATTTGAACCAGGGCCCTAACCCCTGGACAAGCTCTCAGACCTCATCATCTCTGGGTTATAGATGAGAAAGCTGAGGCTGACGAGGATGAAGGTTCTTGCCCAAAAGCAGTGATCCAAAGTGGTATTTCTTGAGCTAGAGAGAGTATAGTTTGCACATGGCAGACTTGGGTTTGATCCTTGGCACTGCTTATCCCAGAGCACCTCCATGTGTGATCCCTGAATGCAAGAGCCAGGAGAAAGCCCTGAGCACCACGGGTGTGGCCTCCATACCAACAAAACAAAGTGGGGTTTCTTTATTTTTGGGGGGGTCTGGGGACCACACTTGGCATTGCTCAGGGATTCCTGCTGGCTCTGCACTCAGGAATCACTCCTGGAAGGCAAGGGGGTGCTAGGATCAAACCCAAGCCAGCTGTGTGCAAGGCAAATGCCCTCCCCACTGTACTACTTCTCCAGTCCCTAAAGTGGAGTTTCTAAAAAACCCCACCACATACTTTCTTTCCTATTTGTTGTTTTTTTTGGGGGGCTATACCTGGATGTAGAGCTCAGGATTTACTCCTGGCTTGGCACTTAGGGGTCACTCTGGCAGTGCTCAGGGGACCCTATGTAGTGCCAGGGATCGAATCTGGGTCGGTTGCATGCAAGGCAAGTCCCTGATGGACTATCACTCCAGCCCAACACACACTTTTGGGGCTGGAGCGATAGCACAGCAGGGAGGGCGTTTGCCTTGCATGCGGCCGACCCTGGTTCGATCCCCAGCATCCCATATGGTCCCCTGAGCACTGCCAGGAGTAATTCCTGAGTGCAGAGCCAGGAGTAACCCCTGTGAAACGCTGGGTGTGACCCAAAAAGCAAAACAAAAACAAAAACAAAAAAACAAAACAAAAAACAAACAAAAAACCAAAAACCAACACACTTTCTACTCTAGTAAGCCAGAATGAAAGTTAGAAGCAGAATGATCTTTAGGGCTGGAGCAATAGAACAGTGGGGAGGATGCTTGCATTGCATGAAGCTGACCTGGGTTTGATCCCCAGCATCCCATAGGGGCCCTGAGCATCGTCGGTGTGTCCCTCCTTCTCCCCTGCCACCACACCCAACCCACACACACACACACACACACACACATACACACACACACGCAGCAGAATGATCCTCACTTGGGGAAGAAAGCTGAACTCAGAAACCTGAAGGCCACCTGCTGGGGGAGCCGGACCTTCTGAAGGCACAGTGGCCTACCTGGTAGTGGGCCAGCTTCTGGGACTCAGAGATGAGCAAGGCGCAGCAGACCTTACACTGGGTGTTGGTGAAGAGACACTGGTTCTTCTGGATCATGTTCTCCACTGCAGCAGAAACGGGAAGGAACAATGGGTGAGCCACGTGTGGCCCATAGGGGGCGCTCTAGCAATGACCAGATGTTGGATGCACCGGCCAGGTTCTCCATCTCCCTATACTATTTAGTGATTCCTGACATGTTTCTGGCCGGGAGGTGGGGAGGGGATGGGTCACACCCAAGAGTGCTCAGCTTCTCTTCACAGTGCTCGGGGGGAACATATGCAGTGCAAGGGTTAGAACCAGTCAAAGAGGGACTGACACAATGGAACAGTGGGGAGGGCACTTGCCTTGCTTGGAGTCAACCTGGGCTCCATCTCCGGCATTCCAAGGGGTTCCCCATGCACCACCAGGAGTTATTCCTGAGCACAGAACCAGGGAGTAATCCCTGATCATCGCCGGGTGTGACTTCCCCCCAAAAAAACAAAGAAAGAAATAGGGGCTGGAGAGATAGTACAGCAGGTAAGGTGCTTGCCTTGCATGTGACTGACTTGGGTTGGATCCCTGACACCCCATATGTTCCCAAACATAGCAGGTGTGATCCCTGAGCACAAAGCTAGGATTAATCACTGAGCACTTGATGCCGGAGCGATAGTACAGTGGGTAGGGTGTTTGCCTTGCACACGGCCGACCCAGGTTCAATCCCTGGCATCCAGTATGGTCCCCCAAGCACCTCCAGAAGTAATTCCTGAGTGTAGAGCCAGGAATAACCCTTGAGCATCATTGGGTGTGACCCAAAAAGCGGGAAAAAAAAAAAATTCCTGAGCACTGCTGGGTGTGTGTGGCGGAAGGCAGGAAGAAAGAAAAAAAATGCAGAGAAAGAATCTTGGGGGCTAAGCGACAGCACAGCGGGTAGGGCTTTGCCTTGCACGCAGCCGACCTGGGTTCGATTCCCAGCATCCCTATGGTCCCCTAAGCACTGCTAGGAGTAATTCCTGAGTGCACGAGCCAGGAGTAACTCCTGCAGCATTGCTGGGTGTGACCCAGAAAGCAAAAAAAAAAAAAAAAAAGGATCTTTCACCCTAGTTGGAAGCCAGTTACCCAGATCTCAGGGGGCTCAGTCACCAGGTGGAGGGGGGGGACACTGAGGCTTCTAGAGTCCTTGGAAGTGTGGGGAAGAGATGGGAGCAAGGGACTCCGAGGATGGGGGCCAGAGCCACAGTACAGCGAGCAGGTCACAGACCTTCCTGACCTGGGTTTGATCCTCGGAATCCCATAGGCCCCCCCACCCCGCAGCTCAGAGGCAGGAAAGAGTTTAAGGCCTGAGCACGGGGCTGGAGCAATAGCACAGCGGGTAGGGCGTTTAGCCTTGCACACGGCCAACTCGGGTTCGATTCCCAGAATCCCATATGGTCCCCTGAGCACCACCAGGGGTAACTCCTGAGTGCAGAGCCAGGAGTAACCCCTGTGCATCGCCAGGTGTGACCCAAAAAGTAAAAAAAAAAAAAAAAAAAGGGCCTGAGCACCTCCAGGTGTGGCCCCAAAATGGGGCTGGGGGGGTACCCCGGCGAAATCTCAGAAGAGGGGCAAACGCTGGTCTAGGGTTCACCGTCTGTACACGGCTGTGCTCTGCGGGGGGCAGACGCCAGGCGGGACCCCCAGAGCGGGAGAAGCCCCCTGACAGTAGGCGCTCCCGCTTGCACCGAGATGCAAGGTTCCCTGGCACCGAGGCCGGCGCGTCCAGTCCGGGGAGCGGGCCGGGCGCCGGGGGGCTGGGGGTGTGTGATCGGAACCCCGAGGGTCACCCCCGCCCCCGGCGGCGCTCACCTTCCTTCTTCCCCACGGGCAGGGCCGCCGACGCCGCCTCCCGCAAGCAGCGCGCCCTCTCGCGGTCGCAGCGCGGCCCGTCCGGCTCCGGGTCCCCCGGCGCCTCCGCGGGGCCGCCGCCGCCGCCGTCGCCGGCCTGCGCGGGGCCCGGCTCGGGACGCTGCATCCTCTCCGCAGAGCCTAACCGGCCCGGAGAGGCGCCTGGGAGGCGCGGCCTCGCGAGATGTGGGCTGGGAGGTGGTGGGGGCGGGGGAGAGGGAGAGCGCCGCGCGGCCCGCAAATCTCGCGAGACTTAAGCGCCGCCGGCTCGGCCGCCTTGTGCCCCGCAGTCTCCCCGCGTCCGGGATGGTGGTTTCAGGCGCCACCCACCGTTGCCGCTTCTCGGTTCCCTCTTTCCCGTTGCAGAGGCCTATTTCTCTCTTATTTATTTTTGTATCATCATTTTTTTTTTGCGTCACACCCGGCGATGCACAGGGGTTACTCCTGGCTCATGCACTCAGGAATTACACCTGGTGGTGCGCAGGGGATCCTATGGGATGCTGGGAATCGAACCCCGGTCGGCCGCGTGCAAGGCAAACGCCCTCCCCGCTGGGCTCCAGCCCCGTCATCATCATTATATTGGTTCTGGGGCCGCACCCAGCAGTGCTCAGAGCTGACTCCTAATGGCTCGGCACTCTAGAATCACACCTGGCAGTGCTCAGGGCACCCTCTGGGATGCCGAACTCGGGTCAGCCGTGTGCACCGCAAGCGCTTTGCCAGCTGTGCAACTGCTCCAGCCCTCCCTCCTTTTATTGAGTCTGGAAACTGGGACCCAGCATCCAAAAAAGTTTGCTCCAAAGTTTCCTTATTAGGAGTCCGAGAGAGTAGGACTCTTTCCTTGCACTTGGTTGACTCAAGTTTGATCCCCAGCATCCCATAAGGTCCACCCCTTGAATTCTCCAGGAGAGATTTCCTGAGCACAGAGCCAGGAGTAAGCTCTGAGCACTGCTTGGTGTGATGCAAAAAGAAAAAAAAATGTTTCCTTACTAGTCATTTTTTTTTGGTTTTGTTTTGATTGTTTTTGGCTTTTTTTGGGTCACACCTGGCGATGTTCCAGGGTTACTCCAAACTTTGCACTCAGGAATTATTCCTGGTGGTGCTTGAGGGATCATATCTGAAGCCGGGGATAGAACCACAGTAAGCCCCGTACAAAGCAAAGGCTCCAGCACCCCCCCTTTTTTTTTTAACTAGTCACTGATGAAAGTTTTATGGTTGCTACTTGGAAGTAGTCATTCCCAGCCCAGATTGACCCCTAAATTGTCACACGGAACTGTTAATGTTGATTTTTTTAAGTCTGTGGGCCACACCCAAAGATTCTCAGGTTTACTCCTGGCCCTGTGCTCAGAGAACTCTTCATCCCAGGGACTGAATCTAGGTAGACCACATGCAAGGAAAGTGCCCTAATTGCTGTACTATCTCTTCAGCCCCCAAATGGATTTTTGTTTTCGGCATTTTGGGTTATACCCGGTGGTGTTCAGGGATTACTCCTGGCTCTGCATTCAGGAATTACTCCTGGTGTGCTCAGGGGACCCTATGGGTTGCTGGGGATCAAACCTGGGTCAGCTGCTTGTAAGAAAAATGCCGTACTGATTGTACTAACACTTCAGCACCCACTGAAATGGAATTTTTATCTTCCATCTCTCACCTGAGTCTATGTAGCCTTGATCTCTGGCCAGGGATATCACAGCATCATCTTCACTGGGCCCTTCCATTTCTCAGCAAATATTCCAGTACAGCAACCTCAAGGAATTTGGAACAAGCTCAAATTCTCAAAACAACTTCCCTATCACAGGCTGCAGAGAAGCCAAGTTCTTATTGCAGCCAGCAGGATGTGAGGGTTTTTTTGGTTTGTTTTGAGTCACGCCCAGCATTGCTCAGGGCTGACTCCTGGCTCTGTGCTTAGGGATCACTGCTGGCAGGGCTCAGGGGCCCGTATAGAATGCCAGGGATCAAATACGGGTAGGCCATGTGCAAGGTAAGTGCCCTTCCCACTGTACTATCTTTCCATCCCCTTGTTATTCTTTTTTCTTTTTTTTTTCTTTTTGGGTCACACCCGGTGATGCACGGGGATTACTCCTGGCTCAAGTACTCAGGAATCACTCCTGACGGTGCTCAGGGGACCGTATGGGATGCTGTGAATCGGACCCGGGTCGGCCGCGTGCAAGGCAAAAGCCCTACTCACTGTGCTATCGCTCCAGCCCCTTGTTATTCTTTTGGTGGTTACGCTAGAGATTCTAGGGTAACACTGTACTATTCTGAGCTCCTCACAGTGCATCAGTGAATAGTCTTTTCACACTTCCTGAACATACTAGAAACTTAAATTCCTTTAACTCTAGCACTTCCTGCTTCCTTATAATCTCAATTTCAGGGTGTCTTATATTCCACAAACTTTAGTTGTGGCTTTTAAATTATCATGATCAATATCATGGTAATTATATTACTTATATTTCTACTTATATTTCTCTACTTAGTCTCCTTTTCAGTATTTTTTTCCCCCTCTCTCTCTTCTACCTTCCAAGTCTCTATGTGGGTAGCTTTCCTTCAGACTAAAAATTTTATCAGCTGAGCACAGAGGGCAGGGCACTTGCCTTGCATATGACTGACCTGGGTGATCCCAGGGCACCCCATTGGGTCTCCATCCCTGCCAGACAGTTGCTCCGTCCCCACACTCCACTTCTTAAATGTTTACTGAGGACTTAGCCTCAGCAGCAGGGAGCAGAATGAGAGACCTAGGGGTGTTTCCCCTTCTTGGAAGGAAGCCCCGGGGGAGCAGGAGACAAGGACTGCACTGGTCTGGGGGGTAGGTGGGGAATCACCCTCACTTAGCTGGGAGGGTGGCATGTGACCTGGAAGCAGTGTCAGGGATCATTCATAGCAAGACTCAGGAGGCCCTCTGGGGTGCAAAGGATCAAACCCAGGTTGACCACATGCAAGGCGAGTGCCCTACTTGCTATAGTCTCTCCAATCCTGAGGACCCATGGGTGTGCCCTTGTCCCCCCAAAAAAGAGAAAATTTGTCTATTGGTTTGGTCAGGATGGAGTCCCTAACTGCTGGTTGTCATGACACCTCTCATTTGTCCTCTATGGTAATTTCATGAACTAACCTAAGTCATATATATATTATATTTCATATTCCATCATCATAGAGGGAAATATGTATATATGCCTCTCAGAGAGCCCAGCAAGCTACAGAGAGTATCCTGCCTGCATGGGAGAGCCTGGCAAGCTCCCTGTGGTGTATTCGATATGCCAAAAACAGTAACAATAACAAGTCGCATTCCCCTGACCCTGAAAGAGCCTTCAATCTTTGGGAAAGATGAGTTAGGAGAGGCTGCTAAAATCTGAGGGCTGGGACGAATGGAGACTTTACTGGTGCCCGCTCGAGTAAATCGATGAATAACGGGATGACAGTGATACAGTGATAAAGTGCATTCAAGGGGCTGGAGTGATAGCACAGCGGGTAGGGCATTTGTCTTGCACGCAGCCAACCCGGGTTCGATTCCCAGCATCCCATATGGTCCCCCGAGCACCGCCAGGAGTAATTCCTGAGTGCATGAGCCAGGAATAACCCCTGTGCATCTCCGGGTGTGACCCAAAAAGCAAAAAAAAAAAAAAGTGCATTCAAGTCAGGGGCTGGGGATATAATACAGCAGGTAAAGTGTTTGCTTTGCACGCCATTGTCCCATGCTCAATTTCTGGTCCCCTATATAATATAGTTTCCCATCACCACCAGGAGTGATCCATGAGCTGAGAGTCAGGAGTAAGCTGAGCGTGTAGCTGTGTGTGGACCCCTTAGAACAACAACAACAACAACAACAACAACCCCCAGTCATGTTAACACATAAAGATATTCCAGCTCATGGGGTCAAAGTGATAGTACAGTGGGAAGGGAGCTTGTTTTGCACGTGGTTGACTCAGATTCAAATCCCAGATGGTCCCCTGAGCCGTGCCAGGAGTGATTCCTGAGTGCAGAGCCAGGAGTAACCCCTGAGCACTGCTGGGTGAAACAAATTTTCTCTCCTAGTCATTGCCTATTTATAAACTCTGTTTCCTTGGCACCTACAAGCATTGTGGATTAGCTGTCTGCATTGGGCATGGGTCTCTGAGGGACCCATTTTTTTTTTTTTTTGTGGATCCTTAATAAGGCTCTTGACACCTACCTTCCTTCCTTTCTTCTCTCTCCTTTCTCTTTTTTTTGGGGGGGGGGCTTCTCAGGGACTTGAGAGCACTTGACAATGCTTAGTGGTTACTCCAGGCTCTGCGCTCAGAAATTACTCCTGGCGACGCTTGAGCGACCCTATGGGATGTCAGAGCTTGAACCTGGGTCAGCCACTTGTAAGGCAAGAGCCCTATAGGCTGTACTCTTGCTCTGTTCTCTCTCGTCACTTATTTACAAGATTCTCTAGTTGCTATTCCCAGCGGTCATGTCATAATCTGTTATTGTTTTTGCTCTGCCATGGCCTATTTTCACTTGGCCTCTAGCCCCTAGGAGATCTCACAGGCAGCTGCCTTTTCTCCTGTACCCTCTCTCCAACTCTGCAACTTTCTTTTAAAAATTGCTATTAGGAGCCTGGAGCAATAGCACAGCGGGTAGGGCGTTTGCCTTGCATGTGGCCGACCCGGGTTCGATTCCCAGCATCTTATATGGTCCCCCCGAGCACCCCGCCAGGAGTGATTCCTGAGTGCAAAGCCAGGAGTAACCCCTGAGAATCGCTGGGTGTGACCCAAAAAGCAAAAAAAAAAAATTGCTATTAGGTCAGATGTGACTCAGAGGCAGAGCATTTGTTTGCATGGGTGAGGTCCTGGGTTTTATCCTTAGCATGGCCAAAAAAAGAAGAAAAATATTAGTTCTATAACCTGACAATAATTTAAAATTTTCTATTGTTTTGCTCAGCGAGATCGTACACTGTGTGCCTTGCGTGTGGTCAACCCGAGTACCATACCCCGCACCCCATAGAGAAATTGACACGAAGCCAAGGACAAATTCACATTATGGTCACTTGTGGGTTTTTCTTTGTTTTTTTTTTGGTCACACTGGCAGTGTTCAAGGCTCAGTGCTCAAGGCTCAGTGTTCAAGGCTCAGTGCTCAGGGATCATTTTGAGTAGTGCTCAGGCGACCAAATGGGATGCTGAGGATCAAC